AGGCCGGGAGAAAGTCATGTTCTTAGGCTGAAGCTGAGGGTCCCAGTAGGCAACACGCAGTAGCACCCATCTTGCCGCCACATCTGCACAGCCCCTTTCTCTTCTGCAGTACTAGGGATCAGCTGCAGCCAGAACCTGGCTCTGAACAGACCGAAGAGCCACACCTGGTTGCAGCACTGAGCGTTCAGGAGATGGGCCCTGCAGCAGGAGAGCCAGAGAACTGAGCTCATGCCTGTGGGATGAGGTCCGCTTTGTACTGCACCCTCTGCATTTTTAATATGCCCCAGGAAAAAAAAAAAAGATTAATATGCCCTAAAAAGCCACTGAAGCAATAGTCTTCTAATGGATCCATCTACACTACTGGTTAAATTAGAGGTCTTGCCATTTCACATGTATAATTTGGAGTGAATCCCTCTTTACAGCGATTCAACAGTAGTGCCACGTGATGTGCTCACATACCCTCTCAGATGCTGCTTTCTGCTTAGGAGTGATTTTCATCCTTTCTCATTTTAACCTTCAGGTAGAAAAGGTCTTTTTTTTTATCTGGCCTCTTGCTGCCACGGTTTCCTGTTTGCCCTGACATCCTGCTGGGATCCTCCTCCATGGTGAACTGCTGGCCAGGAAGAAAATCTGCTTGGGTCTCAGCTCTGCCAGTTTGAGCACCAGCTCACACTCACCTGCACAGAGGGCACAAGAGACAGCTTGGGAAGGGAGGAGGAAATACTTTGGAGTCAGATGGATCAAGCTCTTCTGCTAGAGCTTACGCCTCTTTGTGCGTTTCTGACCTGAACCAGTTCTCTTTGGCATAAGAAAGCAGTACTGAGCTGAGCACAAACAAAATCATTACACCTTTGTTTTCCGGATTTGCTGGTACCCCCCAGCCACCCCAATGCTTTCCCCGAGGGAGAAGTGGCCGTACAGCATCGGTTCATTACCAAAGTCTTGAAAAGCAAGGTCCCAACATTACTGCCAGCTTGACAGTACCACTGAAGTGCCCTGTGACCTGGACAATTCGTCCTTTTAATCTTTATGGATGTTAGAGGCTTGCGTTGTATAGTTCCACCGCATCCTATTCAGACACTGCAAACCAATACCACAAGAAAGGGAAACACAGCCCACCAGCCACCCGCCCCAGCTGCCCTATCTTGCCTTTTACATCCCTCAGACTACCAGCTCCCTCGGGAGGGAAGTGCTTTTATTTTGCTCATGGCAGGAGGAACCCAAGGCCGGTGGCTTCAGTATTGGCAGGGCTGGTTTCGTATCCTCCATGGGTCACGGAGCTGCCGTGCCTCCATCAGGTGCAATGTAAATCCAGACCAGTGCCTGTTCCTTTTCATTAAGAGCCTGGAGCTCACTGCAGAAAAGATGAAAAGGGCTGGTCATTATCCATTACATGTGACCCATTCACTTGCTGATGGACTGGTTTTCATCTCCCTGCCCTGCCTCTAGGCAAGCTTCCCCCAATACCCTAATCTGCTTTTTTTGTTCGCCACCATTTATTTTCCTGAGGGCCTTGTCAATGGTGGCTCCGTTCTTTCCCCATGCCTCCCAGCGCTGCAGATTCAGAAGCATTAAAAGGTTCCAGCTCACGCTAAAAAATTCCAGAAAGTCTGACCGTTTATTATGAAGCCAACGTAGGAAGGATTTGAGAAAAGCGCGATGTAATGAGAGACGGGGAGATGCGGAACACAGCCACATCCTGGAAACGTGCAAAGGTGAACGGGAAAGGGAGGCGGGGAGCATCTGGAAGCCCATTAAATGAGGGCTTATCATCCGATTTATGTAAATCACTTCAAATGCCTTCATTTATTAAAAGTATTAAGCTGCATTACTGTTTGCCTTTGGTCTCCTAATTTGGTTGCTAATGTCTAAGACAACTGTTGAAATTAATTTGAAATTAATGTTCCTATATAATTACTTAATGAATCTCACATTCACTGCCCTTAGCTCTCAGTTGACAAAGGATCTCACCCAGCGCATGTAAGAGGTTGGAATACTGACTTGATTTTAAAACAGTTGCTAAATTATAGTTTGCAAACATTTTACATTTATATCACACACTTCATCTTGAAGGATCTCGGTGTGTTTGAAATGTTACATAACATTCATTCTTTACTAAAATTCTATCACAAAAACTTTCTGGGCATCAATCTTCTTACTTCCCTACATGCCTTGGAATTAAATCAAATTTAGCTGTATTATTATGCAAACACAAAATCATACCTGCATTAAAAGATTATTATTAGGGCTGTAAAGTCAGACACTTAAAAGATAGGAAATGCTGGAACTGTAACCCTGTGCAATACAATTCCCTTTCCCATACATATGTATCCTCATAGTCTTTAATTTTATGATCATATATTTTCCTATACTCACCCCCTCCCTCAGGGGACTTGTTAGTCCTTGTTAGTGTTCGAGAAAAAACAGGATAAGAAAAAATAAGGTTCAAGAAAAAGCTAGCAGGGGAAGGTAGCGACTTGTGGAGTCCCTGCCTCATTCCTTACGAAAGCTGCAGAGGTTGTAATGCGTGTTCCTCCTTTTCTGGGTGGCTGACTTGATACCCCATAAATCCTGATCGGGAGAAATGCTGAATACGCACAGCAGTAACTGAAGCTAAAGAAACATTCGAACGTGCAGAGCATTTTACATACTACTGAACCCAGTGAAACATGAGGTCCTGGGGTCTCACACCGAGCACTTAAAATTAGCGGACACTTCAAAGAGGAGAAAACACTTCTCCGTCTCCCAGGAATGGTAGAAAATGTGTTAGAGCATTTGCAAAGCACACAGACTGCTGTGATACGGAGACCCAAACTTACTCGTTCTGTACAGCACAATGTGTGCTTATTTGTGACTTTGCATTTCTTCTTACGTGTGTATAGTTTAAGGATCAAGGTAAAGTGAGAGCGCCAAACTCATTAGCAACTGGGGACCTTTCAGAGCTTTCCTCCCAGTTAGCTGAACAGTGCTTTGCCTTGGGACATCCTCAGCGTCTAGGCCAGGGCGAGTCAACCTTCCCCATGCTGCAAAACGCCACCCTAATCTTCATGTAGAGGAGAGCTGTAGGCGCATGCTGCATACCCCGGCGTGGCTCAGGCTAATGACACCGTGTCCAAGAGTCTCATTGCTCGGCTGAGGGACAGGCTGATGAGGAGGTTAGGTCCCCAAACACAGGCCTACGTCAACCGCTTTGTGACCTGAATCTCCTTCCCACAATGGGGAACAGAGACTACCCAGCAGCCCACACCCAATCACCACACCTCCACGTGTTGTCCTACTTTCTTAACTAGAAAGCCCAACCTCTCCTGCGCTCAGATCTTTGCCACACCTCCCTCTCTCCACCACATTCCCACCCTTGCCAGGCTGCAGATCCTCCTTCCCAAATCCCTGCCTTCTCTCAGCGTGTCCTCCCTCACACCCCCAAAGCATTCCTATCTCCCACACTTCATGCATTCCTCAGCTAACAGGGATCACTGGAACATCTCCAGGAAAGACCTCCAAAGAAAACCTCTCCCAGCGTGGCTAATCTAAAAAACCCAAGCCTCCAAGCACATGGAAAGATTAGATCCTTTTAAAGTTGTACAGCAGGTAAATTAGGGTGAATTGCTACGGTGACAACCTGGACAACCATCTCAACTTCCTTCTAGAACACCAAATCTGTCAAAGATGGAAAAAAATGGGCAAAAAAAGTCTTTAGCTTTAGTCTCAAAACCAGCTGGGTTTTAAAATTTTCAGAAAAAAATAAAACAATCTGAAGTAGAAGGGTTCCCAAGTCATTTTTATACTAGAAAGCTTAAAATAAGAGGAACCATATGACCACGCAATAAACTTGAGGGCAAAAAAATTAAGAATGCAGTGGCAATTATACAGGCCATCAGCCTCCATGAAGTGCTTGATTTTGCAATAAGCTACATTCTCATACCACCATTCACTTTGCACGTGACTTCATTTACTCCTTTGCAACAAATTCTCTTATGCAGACAGCATTACACAGACCATACCATCAAACTGACCTTCAAAGCAGACTGCTCCCCCCCCCCCCCCCTTTTTTTTTCTTTAATTGAAAATCTACAGCCCCCAAATATCCCCCCCCCCCCCCCAAATGCTAATAGGTTGCCAGGTCATGTGCTAGCAGCTGAAGGTTATTATTGCAAGAGCACAGAGCCATCAGACTACCTCAGCCTAGGCTTCCCTTGCAATTCTGCTTCTGTGAAGAAAGCAGAAAAAGATACTAACACAAGACAACTGTGGCTCAGCAAAAACCATGAAAGACTTCTTGAGGCAAAGATGCTTTTCTGCCTCAGTGGCTTCCTCCTGCTGCTAGCAATTGATGGGACAGGGCTGCTTTAACGAGGTTTCCAGAATCCTGTAATGGAAAGCAGCTGTTCCTACCCGAAGATTGCGGAAGAGGTTTCCATAATTTTTCTGTCATCTTCTTTTGGTCAGTCTCATTACTCAACTTCCCAATATTGATGTGTTAATAACACCAGCAATTCCAGAGTTGTACTGAAAGTACTTTTTTCTCAAACTCCCAACACTAACTTGAGGATGTTTGCATTGCTATTTGCTGCTTAATACACACTTTTCATTTGTTACTCTTCAAAACATGAACTCCAGAACTTTGTGTTCTACTGAATCGGGCTGCGTGAGCCACACATTTCAATCTGAGCAAGTCACTTACTTGATTGAGCACAGGGCAAGTCTACTTGAAAGGGCCTCCCTTTCTTTTCCCAAGCAGTACAGAACTGGACAAACTGAAGGCATCCAACACCGGCTGAAACACTTAGTTTTGCAGAAACATTCAGATGGCAATGGAAGGCCTTTACAGAGCTATCTTCAGGAAGCAGTAAGGGTCACAGTGAATCTTGTCTCCACCATAAATATAGCACCATAATTTGGGGAGGGGGAAGCTTCCTAGCATTTCGCATTAATAAATGCAATTATAACGTAAGATACTCAGTTATTTAGTTAACAAGGTTAAAGCATTAAATACCATTACTGCATGTCCGTCAACTAATACCTTTATTCTGAAAGCTTGCTTTAAAAAGCAATTACGTCTCTGCTTCTCTACAGTGAACTGCCGAAAAAGCAAGCAGCCAATTCAAATTCCATGAGTACATAGCTGTATTTGTCCCTTTATTAAAAAATTTTTTTTTTTTTTTCATTTGCAGTCATGGCCTACACTTCCAGGATCGCTGTATCTCCCTATGTCTTTGCGTACACCAGCTTTAACAGCTCCTTTGGGGAGAATTCATGGAATTGGTAATAGGTTTTGTAATTTCCACCTTCTGTTTTCTAGTTCAGAGAGTAATCGAATCCAGTCACTACTGCTGTATCTATCTGGCAACTGTTTGTTGGCCTCCATGAAAAGAGTTGGAAGTCTGATTTCCATTCTCAGCAGGCATGTTTGTGTGATACAGATGAACTGCTGTAACTGGCAAATTGGAGGAAATTTCAGCAGAGATTCCTAGGCTTAAATAAGCATGAGAACAGAACTTCTTTCACCTCCAGAGAGGTCTCCTCTTTAACAGTCTTGAGAAATGACAGGACAAGATCAGAGTTTGGATTTCTGCTGTTGTAAGACGCACTTTAAAGTGGGTTTTATCTTTCGAGGCTATCAAACTGACACCCACATGAAATTATTAACAAAAACAAAGCAAGTCATTATGAAATAAAATCTTGAGGCAAAATAAGCTTTATCACTCCCCAAAACTCCTTTCTACCTCTGCTGCATTTTAACTGGAATACGTATTTTATTTCTTTTTGCCATCTCCACATTCCCTATGACAGAAACATTTCACTAGTCTTCATTCTGGTAATGCTTATTTGGTTCCCCATGACGGGAGCTGGTGCGATAGCACCAGGCACTGAAAGATCATTAGTAGCATTCTAGGTAAGTCCATGAATTCTGTCGCACAAGGCATTTCAGAACCAAAATACAAGTTACCAGTTTAGTAGAGGCTGAATGTATGACTAGGCTAAGATTAAAAACTTTATTTTTTATACAAAACAATAATAAATCCAAGCAGATAACGAACTGTCTTCTCATTTTCCACCTTTTCTTCTTCTCTCAGTATAGTCTATCCACAGTTCAAGGTTAAACCACTCCATATTCATCAAAAACTATGAGGTTTCCATCTTGTATCCATGTTTTTCTAATTCAGCTCTGTATAGAAAAAAGATAGGTATATTAAAACATACAAATAAAATACTGTCAAACATTTGACTTTTTAAAAATTAAATATACTGCACAATATACAATCATTTTAGAACATGAACATGTCATGCTGCTTTCTGGTTCATACCAATAACCTTAACCTCACTTACTCTATAGTTCTTCAACTTCAGCTTAGTATCTTAGATCACCAGAAGCGACCTTCTAAGTGACAAATTCAAATACTTGTTTTAATCATAGTTATTGCCCTCTGACCCACCATGGCTGGAATACAACTACATGGTGCAAAGCAGCACCTGTGAGCCTGCAACAACTCCAGACACATTAGAAAAACAGAGTATTATCTTATACCAGTTATTCTCAAGATTTCCTTAAACCAAATGAGCTCACTAATCTGAGCGATTTAAATGCATGTACCTCCAAATTAATTTTAGCTTTTTCTTTGTTTTAAATAAAAATACCAGACTGCACTATTTTTGAATCTTTGTGCAATACACTTTCCAGTGAACAATTCTGAGGGAAAAGGATTGCTTTGTTCCCCTTAGTTGTGGCCAGGACAGCAAGTCAGCAACCACAACCATTATCGCTCCTGCCCTGTCCCCACTTTGCTTCTCACCTGCCTCCAAACACACCAGCCAGAACTGCATCCTGTTTTATCTCCTAGTCTTCGCATATGTGTATCTAGATACAGTAGTAGTCCAAATCTCTAAAAATATTTCAGGTTACATACTTAGTAGTGGAATTTTAGAAGTGGAGGACTGCAGCATCTTCTTTCTAAAGATGAAATAAAAAACATGCTGCAACCAAGCAACATTGCAAACTACCATTTTAACACCAATATACAGCCATCGATACTACAGGCTGCAATTAAGGCACAGTTATTGAACGTTTGTCAAGATCAACTGTGTTTGTCAAGAATTACGCTATCCCTTGAAAGTCTCTTTCACTACGTATCAACTTGTTTTCCAATATTACAGTTTAACTGCCCTTCAACCTTATGAGAAACAACTATACCAAAGACTAGTTTTCTATCTTCTACATAAAGGATCACTTTCACTGGAGTACAACAAGGGAGATCAACCCAGGAACTGTTTAATCAGGCTGTATTACAGATAGTTTGCTCCTCATGCAACATACTGAGCGATTAATTATAAAATGCGAGTTTGTGTTGATGCTTGAAACAATTTAAATTATAATTATACGTCAGTAAAGGATTAACTGAAACTACAAGTGACAAAGAGGATTAAACAACTGGATTAGAGGTATCCAAATTGCGAACATTTTTTTTAAAGCACGTTATGAACAATTACTTTGCTATTGTTGCTTATAAACAGCATGCTCATCACACACAAGAAGGGAACCTTAACATTAATATAGATAACTGTCCAAATGCACAAATCTTCCAGAGATCAAAGAACAGCAATGCTATTTGAAGGCACAGAAAAAAATTTGTAACAACACATTTTGCATACCACATAGCATAGAAGAGAGAATCTTGGATCCCTTGCCATTAAACTTTGCAGTACAATTCAGAATTTTCACATACATGTAGAAAAGTCCTTAGAAAAGTATTTATTCGTGTTAAAGAGTGTCAACTGTATTACAATTTGCAGAGATCTCTGTACTAAGTTGCGTAACACCGCAAAAAGCCTGAACACATCAGGCAGATTTCAGGGCTCACAGTACAATTATTAAAAGATGAAATGCTGATCAGTACTTCAAACTGTGCTGTAAACCCTTAAGTCTCGTTCTGAAAAGCTTTAGATAGAAAAGCACAAAGCAGAGCTTTCACTTGTTTCAGATCTCTATTTTTTAAAGTAAGCAGATTTCAAACTCCCAGATATTAACTGAACAATACCATTTTAAACATTTTGCCCATCTTCTAAAACAGTAAGTTAAAACCAAAATTACCTTAACTGATTGGAGAAATCATCTTCGACATTGTCATCATCCCAATTGTCTTCCCAGACGTGCGCATCTTCATCTTCATCTAAACCAGTCCAATCTAAAGACAGAAAAAGAGGTCTAAATATTCTATGCTGCGTTGCTTTGGTACCATGCCTTATTGACAGATTAGCTCAGCCTCTGGGTAAGGTAGATTTCGGCTGGTAACAAATTTCTCTCTTTAACAGAAAAGTCTGGATCATATTTAAGTCTTTATGAGATCAAAAAGCGCAGAAATATCTAAAAAAAACCCCACAATTTCTTGAATTATAATAAAAACACAACTTGGTTAAAAAAAAATATTACACACATCACATCATGGCTTGCAGGATTACACATTCATAAGAGACACTTTGCATACAAATGGACAAGCTGTAGCACCATTGTAAAAACAAAATAGTATTGAGTACTTGACTCCTAAAAGCTCAACAAAAAGCATACAATTCCAGGTTTGTATTTAAATACTTCTTTTTTCCTGATTAAAAAAGTAAATATATATCAAATGCTTTTGCCAAAACACATACACACAGATCCTCAGTTCACTGAGATCAGACGCTGACAGTCTATGGATAAAGGCCAAAAACGTATGCGTGATGCAGAAGCAAAGGCAAATTGAAAGAGGCATCTGCAAACAGCAGTTGCTACCCGTATCCAGCTACTTCTAGGTTCCCAAAACAGCAGAAGCTGTTTCCTTAGAGAGGCAAGACACTGAATGTCCATTTGCTAACTTAATTTCTATTTTTCTTATAATCTGGCACATCACCCTTGACAAATTACTGATCACCCACTTAATGCTTCATTATAAAAAAAAAAATTACTATCAAACTAGTTAGTTTAGAAAAATAACAAAAAATGAAAAATCAGGAAGGCTCAGAATCACTGTGTAAATACAAGTCAGTTTACTTCACTAGGGAACACAGTTTCTCAGTTTTCTTTTACTGACAGACACCAAGTTTTTTCTAACATTACCAAAATAAGAAGTACCCCAATTTTGACACTCGTGACCTTGTATTTCTCAAAGTCTGTTAGTATATTTAAAGAGATAACACTGTTCTTCCCCTTACAATTCAGTAAGCTATCTGCTGCCCATCCAGACTATGGCCCAAAGTAACATTAAACATTGATGGAGGTATAGGGAAAAAAAAGCTAGTAGGGTAAAAGACTACAAACTAATTGACTGTGAACAACTAACTTTATAAGAAGGAAGGTTGGTCCTTGCATTTTCTCCTCTGTTTCTAACACTGACAGGCAACAAAATTAATATTTGAGATTCACCAGGACAAGAAAATCCATTTGTAACTGATTAAAGAGACACACATGTAGAAGGCATTACAATTAAGCTTCCCTACTCAAATAAGTCATATAATGGGAACAGATGAAGGAGCATAGAAACCCTACTGGTCCTAAGGACAGCAAAAGAACAAACTGGGAAGAAAAGGTGAAGAAAAAAATGCAGTAAAAAAAAATGCATTATTTTAATTTAGTTGTACTGCTAGTTGCTCAAAGGAAAGGATTTTGATTTTAGAACTATCTGCAATAAGCTTTGCCTATTTATATGCAATGGATATTTTTTTTTGTCAAAATAAAAAAAGCTTTACCACTCATCACTTATCTGGATTTCAAAGATACAAAAAACAAAGCTCAAAAGAGTTTAAAATGAACAAGGCCAAACTTTTCTATCTACTAACACACAGTAGTTCAGACAGATCTACAAATCTGAAAAAAAAAAAAAAAGAGATCTAGTAACTAGTATCCAGCACAACATACAGCAGCTTCAATCATAAAAGGTCAGTTGGGAAGACTGAAAACACGCCCCAAATCACACTGAGCAAAGAAGAGTCAGAAAGGCCCATGTCATCTTCCACAATGCAGGGGGGAAGAGAGTGAAAGTAAAGCCTAAATTATATTCTCATCGCTGTAGCTACAAGATTCTACAGTAGCTGTATGTTGACACTATACCCCAGAATTGCATACTAAAGTTATTATTCTCAGCTGCATTATATGCCTGTGACTAAGTAAAAAAATGATATAGCATTATCTGGGATTGAAAGTATTAAGGGCATTTGGGAGTCTGCTACCATTAAGTATTACTAATATACACCAAAATTACAAAATCAATTTTGATAAACTTGTCATGGCTGGACGCCTTAAAAAATACTTTAATATACTAATCACTGATTGCCATATTATGCACTTGGGAAAGGAAAACAAAAAACAGTTTTTAGAGTAGAGGATAAAAAAACCTAAACCCTACCATTTTACACACTACATTCTACATTCTGAAAAGCACTGTACAAAAAGTTCTTAAGTGACCAATTCACATATAGCATGATAGATTCCAGTGTACTTCAAATAAAGTGTCCTATAAAAACAGGACACGTGCTTTTGATACATGAACTTTTTTTGATAAATTGTTTGAAGAGAAATTTTAAGTCGGAATAAAAGAAATTCCCAAAAAGCCAGTGCTTTTATCCCTTAACATAAGTTTGCATTACGCAATTTCCTTTGGATAAAAACTGGGTAACTACACAGTTTTTCTGCTGCATAGAAAGTGGTGTTTTAATCGAAAGAACAGCAATTTGGCATGGGTTTGAGCACATTTATCATGATTCTTTCCTAAGCACTGAAGATAACATTCAAAGTGGTCTGAACATTCTTTATAACCTCTCAACACTATTATCTCACTTGAAGATTTAAATGGGCCTCTTTAGTTCTTATTTTTTGCAAGATAGATCAGCAAGAAGCCTGGTTGTGGTCACTCTTTAATAAATTTCTGTTCTACCCAGAAAGTTTGCACAGTACTTGGTTTTAGTAGTACAGCTAGATTCAAGTAGAATTAATTTCACCTTCTGTAACAGCAATTCAGTGCTCTGACCAATCCAAGGTTCAGAAGCATGCTTCAAAGACTTCCTTCATCCCTGCTGCCAATACTTAATTTACATTAAATAAGATAAACAGTTTTTGCCTGTTTAGGAAACATATGGAAAAGAAGGGCTAGTCATCTCAGTTTAGCTATCAGCTCAACTACATTAATAACTTTTTCCGTCAATAAGTGCAAAAATATTATTTTTACTGGTACTGAAGGATTCAGAACACCTAAGGCTTGTGAGGCCACAAAAAAAATCACATATAATGAAGACATTACAGGAAAAAAACCCTGACATTTCATCCATCATTTTTTATACCATTTCTCATTATCCACAACTTGAGACAATTCCGAGAATTAAGGACATAGAGAAAACAATCATGCCCTAATAGGGATCTTTTCAAGATTATATCTGTAAAAGGCCACTGAGTTGCTTTATTGAAGTCCAGATTTAATTTCCTCATTCAATATATTTGTACCTATGAAGAGCAAACGAACACATAAATATTTGTGCTTCAAAAGGTAAAGAGATTCAGAATAACTACAGAGCACATTATTTCCTTTTCACACTTTTTCCCACCTTACACCCAGTTCCCACCCCCCATCCCTCCTCTCCCCAGCGATTCTCATCTCGAGAGCCGAGATGCATCGAGTCTCTCCTGCACTTGTTTCCAGCTCTGTCGCGCAATGACACAGCACTTCGAGGGCGATGCGCCCAGCACCGTGAAACCGGCACAGCTGGGCACAGGCAGCACGTTCGTGCTCGGCCCCGACCCTGACGGGGCTCTAGCCCCGCACCTCTGACCGGACCGGGGGGGCAGGAACTCGCGGGGCACCGGAGAGCTGCTTCCGTATCGCTGAAGCGGTGCATGCGGAGACGCCATCACACCGCCGTGGAGACCCTGAGGGGCTGCCCTGCGGGCAGCGACCCGCTGACAAACCGCGCCCCGGCCCCGCCGCCCCTCCTGCCCGCCGGACCGCCCGCTC